CAGGTCATGATCCCAGGGTCCTGGGATCGAGCCCCACATCGGGCTCCCGGCTCAGCGGGGAGCCTGCTTCTCCCTCTGACCCTCTCCCCTCTCATGCTGTTTCTCTCCTGCTCACTCTCTAATAAATAAATAAATAAATAATCTTTAAAAAAAAATGCAACTTAGTTTAGGTCTTTCCTCAGCTCACAATCTTTTAATGGTTCCTCATTACATAATAAAAGCCGAAGTCTTTATAATGGACCTGATTGTGTCTCCCATAATTTCTGTGATTTCACTACCTCTCCTTCCACTATCTCTGTAACTTGCTGTACCCAGCCATATTGGTCTCCCTCCTCTAATAAACCAGGCATGTTCTGCCTTAGGGCCTTTGCGGGCTCACTGCCTGGAAAGTTTTCTCAAATATCCTCACTTCTTTTGGATTGAAGTTCAAATTCATCTTATCAATTAAGTCTTCCCCAAATACCCTAAATAAAAATAGTATCCAACCCAATACTTTTTATACTCTTTAGCCCTTTTCCTTTTCTCCAGAGTATATATTACTATCTGATATACTATATACTTGTTTATTGTCTATCTTCCCCACTAGATATAAGTTCTGTGAGAGCAGGGATTTTGTTTTATTTATGACTGTATCCCTAACCCTGAATAGTGTCTGATACATAATGAGTCCATAATACATACTCGATGGTGAATGGTGGGGAAGAGCAGAGGGAGAGGGAGAAAGGAATCTTAAGCAGGCACCACACCCAGAGTGGAGCCGGATGTGGGGCTCAATCTCCCAACCCTGAGATCATGACCTGAGCCAAAATCAAGTCAGGCACTTAACTGACTGAGCCACCCAGGTGCCCCTAAACATCCATTTTTAATTTACAAGCAAATTGGACCTTTACAATGTGCTAATTGACATGGAAAGGTCTGACATGACAGGGTTTGACAGGTTAGCAGTGGGGCTATACACCATATACAATCATATACACATATGTGTGTATATATGTTTGTTTATGTGTATATGTATATGAATATATGTATGTATATGTGTATACACCATATACAACCAGTTGCTCCATCACTTAACAATCTAGTTTAGGAACTACAAGGAACTTAGTGATCCAAACCTCACAATTTTTTCTTCACAGAGTACCATCATCAATTCTGTAGTCCTAATATCTTTGTAACAAGAGCCATTAGCACCTTCTTTTGTATCCCCTGAAAAATATTTAAACTGGCATCGCCTGCCCTATACATTCAAAACTAATTAGATAAAAGGCTGAAAGGGGCACCTGGGTGGCTCAGTCAGTTAAGCATCCAACTCTTGGTTTCAGCTCAGGTCATGATCTCAGGGTCCTGAGATGTAGCCCTGCCACAGGCTTCCCGATCAGTACGTGCTTGAAATTCTTTCACTCTCCCTCCCCTTCTGCTCCCTGCCCCAGCCCCATTTATGCATGCATGCACGCACACGCTCAGGTTCCCTCCCTCTCTCTCAAATAAATAAATGAATAAATAAATAAATAAAATTTTCTTTAAAAAGAAGGCTGAAAACAAAACTGTCTGAACTGACTAAATTGTACATACAGGCCTGTCTATAAAGTAATGGATTGATTACGTCGTTTGTATTGTGTTAGTTGTGAACAGTATAAAGGGCCTTAAAACTATTAAAGTTCATATACTTCCTCCCTAGTCCTTATCCACCTCCTCCCCACCTCATCCCCTCACAATTACATAAGTACACAAAATTTTAAAAATCTTTAAGAAGGAATTGAATAACAATATAAGCCTGGCAGAAATCTGAAATCACTCCAGCCTCAAACTTTAAATCATTTGCCTAGAGAGAACAGCCCTCAGATAACTGTGACTCAGCATTTTATGGTGCCTGAGACATGAAATGAGATAAAGGTCTTGTTCCCTTCATGGCATTAGCTAAATAAGGAGCTAAAATTAAAGAGCTACCTTAAAAACACAAAGTCAGTGGCTGAAATGTTACAGCGCTCACACTGACACAGATTTGACTCAATATGTAATGACAGGGAGGAGAGTATATGCCAGTTGAAACACACAGAACTATTCTGAAATAACTTGACCTATAAAATTAGCAAATAACAATACTGATCACAATTAACACTCAGAAATGGAGAAAATATTGTAAATAAATGAAAACAAAATTAAAATATGAACTACGGTGCTGGTTTAGAGACAGGTAAAAAATAACTTAGAGCGAAGTTATTTTTCACTAAAATATCTAAATATCTAAAAGTGAATCAAGTGAGGACTTTTTTCCTCTTGTAAAGAAAAAAAGAAAGAAAGTTGAGTAAAACTGAAACAAACAGAAAAGTCCAGCTCTTTTTGACTCTTTATGAGCAGAAAGATAAAATAAGGTACACTACATAAAGGTTACAATAAAGACAGTTTTCAGTTCATATTCTCATGTGGAGCGGGAACTGATGAATGAAGAATAAAGCATGGTAACTGGCAAGCAGGGAGATCTGGAGAGGTGAGATCATGAAAAAGGACTGAGGGGCATTCCACATAGGCAATGGAGGAAGCTGGGGAATCCTGCTCAGGAACCCAGGTATTTAAAGGAATAAAAACAATGAATAGACATATGGCAACAGCCTATAGGCAAATGGGCAAAAACAAACTGCTAATTCTTGGCTTTAGCTCCTGTTCTAAGTATGTTATTGACTCTTTTAATTCTCAAAACAAGCCAATGACATAAATACTATTAAACCTAACTTTACATGTGAGGAAATAGCCTCAGAAAAATTAAGTAACTAGCTCAAGGTCACATTGTTAATAAGTGGCAGATCCAGGCTACCAACCCACATGATCTAACTCTACCACAACTTTATACTGCTTTTTATGAATGTCTCAATATGTGAAAAGGAAGTGGGGAAATTGCAATCACTGAGGCCTTTACTGCATTCAAAACCAGACCTTGTGGGGTACAGAAGAATTTCCCCTAAGTAATCTACAGCCTATTAACGGAGTTTGGACTCACACCAAAATACTATTCAAATTGCACATCAGACAGGACTAGGAGAGGCACAACAAGGGTAGTGGAAACTCAAATGAGAAAAGTGGTGTTCACCAGGTTGTGGAATCAAATAAGACTTCACTGAAAGAACAGCATTTTTGATAGGATTTGAAGAAAAGGGAAGAGTTAGGTGGAAGGAGTACCATGACTTCCCATCAGTTACTCCCCAGGGTTTTCAGGATAAATTTCAAACTCCTTGGCATGGTACTCAAGGCCCTCCACAACTACGGTTGGAGGAACGCCAAGGAAGAGAGATTATTCTGCAATGATTATGCCGGAGTCTTTACTACCAGTTCGGGTTCCAAAGGATCAGAACATCTTACTTTTCTGTCTCCATAAACCGTTAGTGAGTTGGAGGCAGGCACAATGGCTTATTCTCTTGTAACCCTCCCCTCCCCCAGTCCAGGTGACTGTACATCACAGCACGTGGTGGGTGCACTGCAAACATTTTCTGAAACGAATGTTAATCAATGGGCATCAATCACCAGGTAACTCTGTGTCCGGCCAAGCTGCCTTATACCCTCTAGAGCTATGGTGTTGGCTAACTTTAAAGCTATCAAGTTAGAAACTTAAACACGTGATCCAGACACAACGGGTCGGCCTTAATTTGGACCCGGATGCCACAAACCAACTGTGAAAGGTCATGAAGGCAACGGTGATAATCCGAACATGGACAATGAATTAGATGGACTCAATTTCATTAAATGTGATTATGCCTTAAAAAGGTATATTAGGTATATACATTTATGAATAAAATGGTTTCCCTTAAAACAATGGAGATTAGGGAGTATGGGTGGGAGGAGATAAACAAAATCGGTAAGATGTAGCTAACTGTTGTACTCTTCGGTGCAACATACTACTTTTGGTGAATGTTTAAAAATTTCTTAATACAAAACACACACGACAGAGACACAAAGACAGACACACACCCAGGTGCTGTTTTTCATCTTAAACCCCGAGGGAACCAGACGCAGAGGGTCCACCTGCGGCATCTCGGATTCGGAGGACGACCTCTGCGGGGCTTCCCGCGGGGGCCCGGCCTGGTTTTCTCGCCCGCCGGACTCGAAGCTGACCGAGGGGGTGGCCTCTTCATCCCCTCAGCACCCTCCATACACGCCTTTCGCAGAGAGCCGAATTCTTGGAAAGCGCGGGTCACAGTTCTCTCAGTTTCTACGCTGGACCCCGCCCCGGTGACTGGACCCTGAGGAGAAGGGAGCCTTCCGCCGGGTCCTTCACCACCACGACCCCCAACGGCCGGGGCCGAGGGCTCAGGGGCGGACACCGCGCAGCGACGTCACGGCGCGCCGTGCGCCGGGTCAAAGTTCAGCCCCGCCCCTCTTCCCCCTCGCTGTCTTCCTTGGCCTGCGCTGCCGCCGACGCCGCTGTGGGCCTGGCTTCGCTCCGTCCGCTCCGTCGCCTTCTTCCCTAAGCGCTGCCCGGCCGGCCGCCATGGCAAACGTGGCCGACACCAAGCTATACGACATCCTGGGCGTCCCGCCCGGCGCCAGCGAGAACGAGCTGAAGAAGGTAGTGGGGAGCGGGACGGCCGGGCAGGGTGTGAGGGGCGCGGGCCTGCTTTGCTGAGGCGGCCAGGCCGCGCTACGGGGCTGCCCACGAGCCGGCGCCGGACGTGGCGGGCTCAGGCTGGGGGGCGGCGGCGGCAGCGAGACCGGCCTCGGCTGACCTTGGGCCGTCGGCCCCGCCTGCCCGCAAATGCAGCAAATAAAACCCGCCTCTGCGCAAACACGACGAGAACGCTTCATTCCTCCCTCCCCCGGCGGGCGCCGGAGGCCGGGCGCTCCCGGGAGGTTGCAGCCTGCGCGGCCCTCCCCGCGCGGAGGTCATCACCCTGGAAAAACAGGTTGGACAGAGGCGCGCAGCGCATCCCGGCCTCGGGGGAGAAGTTGTCCACGCCGCGGTCGTCGGCTTCGGAGCCGAGTCCGGGCTGGGTCTAGGGCCTGGCGGGAGGGTTGAGGCCGCCCCCGCCGGCGCCTCCGGGCGGTTGGGGATGTTTCCTGGGTGCCGCAGCCGCAGGAGCACCTCCCACTCTTCCTCCTTCGCCCACCGCCCCGTGGGTCTCTGTTTGGGTGTATTGTTCTGTGGGCAGGTAACCTAGATGTTTCTGTACTCGGTTCAGGAATAAGTCGTGGGTACCAGCCAAACACCTGAGTGTACACTAAAAATAAATATAAGGCCTTATTGCTGTCTGCAATGCTGCGAATCTTTGATCTCAGGATTTCAGAGCACTTGCGGCATTTGACTGAGCCCTACTCGGTCTTCACCGAGCTTAGAGTATCCAGATTTGTAAGCTGAGAAAAAATGAGACTGCTCTTTAGGCATTGGGACGGGTAGAGTTGAGAGTAAAATGGACTTCCTGTTACCTTACCGGAAATGCTAGTCTGTATTATATAATTCATGTGTCTGAATAAAGACTTAAGTGCAGTATATTCTAGCCACCTAAATGTATGCAACTTCAGGAAGACTGAAGTTACTCTAGTTAATTAATACCCTGATTAATCTGCCATATGAAAAAATAAAAGGAGCTTCTCTTGATGTTTCAATTAGAGGGAAGGCAGGAGCCATCCTGAGCAGAGGTTCTTACCTTAGCTTAATTTTTAGTTAAAATATTTCGCAGTTTTAACAAACTTAACAGTCATTTCTTTAGCGTTCATTAGAGTTTTCTTGGTCTGGTTACTGGCCATCAAAGACATTTGACAATAGTGAAAATATGAAATTTTTCGATATTTTGTTTTTGGTTAGTGAGTAAACAGTATTGAGGTGGATAAATTAGTAAACAATATTGAGATATTTTCTCAGCTTACGAATCCAGTTTGTCAGTCTCAATGAATAAAAGATGTTTTTGGAAGGTGTGATTTTAAAACATTGCTTCTCAGAAAAATGGATATTTAGTACTCATAAATCTTTAAATCAGATTTTGTATGTAACCTTTTTTTTTTAAATTTTCTTTTTTATTGAAGGCATACAGAAAGTTAGCCAAGGAATACCATCCTGATAAGAATCCAAATGCTGGTGACAAAGTAAGTTATTTGAGATTTTGCCCCATGAGGTTTCAGTTTTAAATTGCCCTGCTTCAAAAAAGTCAAGAAAAGTCCCATCTCTTACCATAGAGCCAAAGTTTTACATGAAGAGTATTTTGGTTTTGTAATGGGAATGCTAACATTCCGGGCAGTGGTAGGTGGGAGATAGGACCAGAATCAAACCAAAGGTAATTTATAGCTTTTGTTAGAATAATTGGATTCCAGATTCCTGTAGCCTTTGCCCCACTCCTCTACTTGAAAATCCAGTTGTTTTCCTTGTTACTTTTTTTTCTTTTATAGTTCAAAGAAATCAGTTTTGCATATGAAGTACTGTCAAACCCTGAGAAGCGTGAATTATATGACAGATATGGAGAACAAGGTCTTCGGGAAGGTAGCGGTGGAGGTGGTGGCATGGATGATATTTTCTCTCACATTTTTGGTGGGGGATTGTTCGGCTTCATGGGCAATCAGAGTAGAAGTCGAAATGGCAGAAGAAGAGGAGAAGACATGATGCATCCACTTAAGTGAATATCTTTTTTTCTTTTTTAAAAAAATATTAAGTACTATTTTTTCAAGTAGTAATGCTTAGTAAAGATAAAGGTATCAAAAACGTCCTATTGTCAGAAAAAAAAATCTTCCATTTCCTTACTATCCTCATTGGGTGACAAAATTAAATTTGATAACCTGGGTGTTTGTATTTTGCTATAGATCTTAAAGGATGGTTGATATTTCTACAGAGGAGGCAGATGGTTTTATATTGGTCTGAAGCCGCTTGTTACTACATGATTTAAAATTTCAGTTATGAAGATTATTTTCTTTTTAAGTATTTAAATTTTTCAAGTTACTTTTTATTTAAAAACTTAACACAGTGAGTGACTCTGACTAGTTTGTTTACATGTTACAGTCACTCATTACTTGATCCTCCATGTGAACTCTCCTAAATTGGTTTCCATGGAGCTTGCTGGCTTCTAGCCTGACATTAACCTGCCAACATATGAATGGTGTCTGACCTTGGTCTTAGACTGTGAGCCCATGAGCTCTACAATATGAAAATAGCTATTTTACTTTGCAAAGTTTGTGAGGTCTTTTATCCTCTTTTCATGAACCAATAATGGTTTTACTAGCAAATGCCATAGACTTTCAAGTGTTTATTTAAAATATTTCATATTACCTAATTTATATGTTTGAGTAGATTAGAGGAAGTGTAAACTACATTGTTTGGATCTCATTCTTAAATTTGTATTTTAAAAGACTTTATCCTCAGAAATTATCATTTGGATATTATTCCAAGAGTAATAGTTGTACAGTGTGATTAGTTCTTTTTTTCTTTGATACAAAAGTGATTTAAGAAGTAAATAAGATCAAAAAAGTACTTGCTGTGTCTTAAAAAATTAATATTCACTTTAAAATTTTTTTCATTGTATACCGCAAATGCTATTTTCTTTTAACATTATTTAAAATTTACCTATTGTTATCAGCACCATGCTCTAACCAACTGAGCTAACCGGCCACCCTAAAATTTACCTATAGTTATAATATTTCATTTTGGGTGTCTTTATAATATTCAGTTCCATGATTTATTCAAGCATTCACCTTTTCTAGAGGATGTTGCCAATTTTTTTCTGTAGTAAATAGCTGCTTTGAGTATCTTTATATACAGCTTTGTCTTTTCTTGGCAGAGATTCTCAGGCAGGCATCAGTGTTTTGAGGCTGATAAATACAACTAAATTGCCTTGTAAAGGATTGTGCCAGTTTAGCACCATTGGTGGAGAGTGCCAGCTTGGCCAGACCATTACCCACATTTTTCCTTCATTGGCCATGTTTGTTGAAGTGTGTGTTTTTCTGGCCTCTTAGGTAGTGGTTTTGCATACTAAGTGTAATTTAATATGTAAGGAGGAAAAGATCTACCTCTTTGCCTTCTGTAGATGATTTGGTTAAAGATTGTTATGAGTATAAAAGACAGATGCAGCCAGTTGCTTTTGTCTGATTAAGCTGTAGCTATGTTATTATTTGAAAGTGTTGCTAATGTTTTGTCCATCAGTGTTTTATTCTTATACTGTCTAGAACGTATAAATTTAAGCTTGAAATAATGATTTGGGGAAAGTTGGAATGCCACAATATAAATAGTATAGGTGCTTTGCAAAATACTTTTAACAATTGTTCCTCTATTTTAAAGTAAATCTTCACTGCTAAAGCAGTTTTAAAAACACAGTGAGAAGGGTAAAACCACATTAAAAGCACTGCGTTCAGATCCTAAAAGAATAGTCTTTTTGAGACTTGATATACATAGGTTTTTTTGAGGTTAGTTTGGAAATGAATGGTCCTGTAATTCAAATATGCTATATAAAGGCGAATTGGGTTTTATCAGTTACGCATTTTTAATAGGCTTTTAAACTCTCCTTTTTTTTTTCTTTTTTTTTTTTTTGATGATAGACCCCTTTGGAAATTTGGTAGAAGTTCAGATATATAATTTTGATTATAAGTCAGTGGGTCCTTAAGACCTCTTAAGCTTCTAGGCTCCCTGTTGAAAACCTTTCCCTCCTCTCTGTCACACTGCTGATAAGGTTACTTTTGTTTTTGAGACATACGCTATCTAAGTTGCATATAACTCCCATAAGTTGTAATATAACTTTGTCACCTTTCTAAAAATTGTCCTTGGGGGGAGCAAAGCCTTTAGTAGAGCATGGACTTTGGAACAAAGCTGCCTATGTGATCAAGTAAGGCAAGTTAACCCGTCTGTTCAGTTTTGTCTTGTAAAATGAGGATAATAATTGTACCTCATTCCGAGGGTTGGATTAGATGAAGGGTCTCCTGCCTGAGGCCAGAAGAAGGTTGTGATGCTTGAGTTTGTTCAGTTATCAGCTCTGTCAGAAAATGTAGCATAACAAATTGTTAGCCTGATCCTATAGGTTGTGGCTTTGAGCACCATGGATACTGTCCATAATCATAAAAGTCTTCTGCTTATTTGAGCCACAAAATAAAACTTCGATCAGTTGACTTAATTAATGTAAGATGATTTTGAATTCTTTAAAAGGTTATAGTGGAATTTGCTGTATCAGCGGTCATTTATATCTTGAATTTAGGAGAACTTGGCAAAATTTGATTGGACCTAATTCTTTTCTCCCCAGAGTGTCTTTAGAAGATCTGTATAATGGCAAGACAACCAAACTACAACTTAGCAAGAATGTACTCTGTAGTGCATGCAGTGGGTAAGTGTGTGTTCAGGTTTATGAAATAAATTTCCGTCTGTTCTTTCAGTGACACTTTTAGTCTCTACCAGGTAAAAATTGTTCATGATTTAAACTACCCAACATAGAACATTTTCTGATACATTTGAAAGTCAGTTTAAATACTAGTCATTGGGGGTTGAAGATGAAGGTAAAAAGCACATTTCCTGTTTGTCATGGCCAGTGGAATGGTCCGTGGGCAAAAATCTAATTTATATATTTGCTTGCTTTAGCCAAGGTGGAAAGTCTGGAGCTGTTCAGAAGTGTAGTGCTTGTCGGGGTCGAGGTGTACGCATCATGATCAGACAGCTGGCTCCAGGAATGGTACAACAGATGCAGTCTGTGTGTTCTGACTGTAATGGAGAAGGTATGCATGCCAATACTTCTCTGCTTTTATGTTGAAATGGATTAGAAATGCAGGAATTGGAGAGGCTTACAATTTTTCTTTTTTAATATGTGTTTGTATTCATCTTATTAAAGAAAAGATAGAGTTCTAAAAGAAGAATGTGAAAATAATTATTCTATTATGCATAGGCCCAATGAACACAGTAAATTTGTATTATGTTCAATAAAATGTTAGTCTTTAGTTCCGAAAGGATGGGCAAAGTCCTTTGTCCCTTTATATTATTAAAGGTTATATTTGATAAAGAGGGAGACAGCAAATTGTTTAGTTATTCTGATAAGTGGAGGATTTTACTGTAAGCTTTAGCTAGCTTTTAAGGATAGGTAAGGGGAATTGAAGCTTCTCACAGAAGTAAATACTTTAGGTTTTAAATGACTTTGAAATACTTAGGCTCAGAGTGATTTCTGAAACTACTACTCACCTCTGTCCTTGTAGTGCTTTTTAGCCATAGACAATATATAACCAAATGGGCATGACTGACTTCCAGTTAAACATTTCTTAGAAAAACAAGGGCATACCCAATTTGGCCTGGGGATTTAGTTTACCAGACCCTGTTCTAGAGCAGTGCCATCTAGTAAAATTTTCCTACAATGATGGAGATGTTCTATATATGCAATGTTGAGTATGGTCACCACTAGCCACCTGTGACTATTCAGTACATGAAATGTAGCTAGTGTGACTGAGGAACTGAATTTTTAATTTTAATTAATTTAAACTTTAAATAATCACAGATGGCTGGTGGCTACCTTATTGGACAGCACAGTTCTAGACCATCTTTTTCCAAATTACTCCAGGAAGTGGTGAAATAATGGAGAAACTGCATATTATATTCCCCTCCTGGAAAGTCTTAGTGCACTTTACCTTATTAAAGCCTCTTAACAGTTCCTGCTATCAAGAAACCAAAGTTTACTGAAATCTTTACCCATGTGCCATTCCATTATGAGGAACTGGTGTTTTGCAGAACATACTTTTTGAAAGCAGTGTTCTAGAAATAGTCCCTCAAGTCATTAATTATACATGTTACCTAAGCATTAAAGTGTGCCAGTAATCAGCCAGTAGAAATCAATGCTATTTTTTCACATGTAGAACTTCAGTTTTACTTTATTATACCACTAATTAAATGTTTCAGAAGAACACATAGAAAAGAAGCTGTGTTGTCCTAAACGTGGTATGGGGGTACTCAGTGTCAGCTAAAATTTAGCCATTTCTTAATTGGTTTTGGAAATTTCTCAGTGATAGCGTACCTAAATAAAAGGAAGATCTGTAATAGGACATCTGAGCAGGGGTTAGTCTAGGAAATAAATAAAATCTCCTACCAACTATACAATGTAATAATGAGCCATAAAAGATACTTAAGTTTTTATTTGGGTTGTCTCTGTCAGCAGAGTTAAACTTACTTGAAACTAAGCCTGAAAACAAAAAAGGAAGTAGCACTTGTAGAAGCTTCAGCATCTGACCACCCTTTTTTTTTTCCTTGAAGCTTAGGCTTTGTTTTAACTTTAGAAAATAGAGTCAGGAGCCAAGAGAGTAGTGTTTAAGATACATTACATTTCTCATACGTTTCTTTGAAATAGAGGGAACCAGTTAGCTGGGTCCTTCAGGTAACCTGTAGTAAGATGTGAGTTTCTGTTATTAAGAATGATAATTTAGGGCGCCTGGGTGGCTCAGTTGGTTAAGCGACTGCCTTCGGCTCAGGTCATGATCCC